CAAAATGTCCATACACATAAAGAAAAATACTGAAAAATTTTAAACTTTATTCTTATTTTATGTGTATGAGTTTTTTACTTGCATGTGTTATCTGTGCACCAAATTTATGAGTGCCTGTGGAGGCCAGAAGAGGCCGCTGGATTCTCTAAGACAGGAGTTACAGATGCTAGAGAGTGGCCATGTATGTGCTGGAAAGTATAAAAGTATCTTTTAAAACATATATTATATATTATATATTTTTTATTTACATATTACAAATATATGTATATTTTAAAAGATACTTGTTTAAAGGGCTCAGCTGGTAGGATGCTTGCATAGCATGCGGAGAGTCCCGGGTTTGCACAAAACTGGGCGTGGTGGTATGTACCTGTAATCCCAGCAATTATGAAGTGAAGGTAGGAGTATCCACAGCCAAAGGTCGGGGCCAGAGACATGACTCAGTGGGTAAAAATACAGACTGCTCTTCTGGAGGAGCCAAGTTTGGTTGTCAGTATCCACACTGGCCATCTCACACTATGACTTCAGTTTCACGAGGATCCAACTCCTCCGTGGGCACCTGCATACGTGTGCGCACCCACCCCCCCCCCCCACATATTTTAAAATAGAAAAAATAAATCTTAAAAAAAAGTTCAAGGTCATCCTCAGAGACATAGTGTGTTTGAAGCCACTGTAGCCCCTTTTGCTGGGCTGGGCCGGGACAGGCTTCCTAATGCTTTATCAATGAGTCTTCCAATTATTTCCTCCTGCTTTGGACTGCTTTGCCCTGTAGTTGTGGTACCCTGTGGTTCTGAGGAACTCGGGGAGGCATTCATGCATTTCCTTTATGTTTGGTTTGGGTATTTTCATTTTGGAGCCGACAGTGCCTGTCTGCTGTAGGCATCTCCACTGGCCGCAGAGTCTGTTGGAGGGGAGTGGCCCGCACTATTCTCAGGGCCCTTAGCACAGATGCTGTCTTTGATTAGGACCGTCACCCATTCCGGGTCACTTCGTGCCCTCCTCAGTGCTCAGCAAAGGCTCTTCCTCTGGGTGGGAAAAACCCTTTCAGACAGATCTTAAATACAGGGGATGTCAGGGAGCGCTCACGGCGGGGCCAGCTCAGGCTGCCGCCGGGGCCACAGGCATCCTTGCTGGGATTTATCTAGGAAGGCTGCACCTGTCCTCCTAAAGCAATTTCTTTTCTCTTTGCATCCCCAGGACTCTTTCACCTTGCGGAGTGTTCCTACTGGACCTTGTCACAGGGGCCCGTCTAGCTAAAAGGAAAAGCCCACGAGGGAGGCAGTACCAGTTCTTCAGACTCGGTCTAAGAATGTGCTCTGAAAATGGAAATCTTGGCTTGGGACAGATCCAGCCAATCCCTGTCCTGGGCAGGAGAGAAGATTTCCCTCAGGCTGAAGGGATCAGATGGCCTGGGAGAGTGCCATTCTCAGGCTTTTATCGTTGGCTTTTATCTGGTCACTGAGATCTGAAGCCTGTGTTGTAGGACTAGAGGGCAGAGAGAGGGACTGGGTCTGCTCCGAGAGCTCGTCAGTCAGAGCGGTGGGACCCAGAACCACTCAGCACGACAGTCAAGTCTGCAAGATACATTTCTTGCATCCCTGAGGTCAGGGCTGATGGGGCCCAGCACAGTGTGCGCCAGGCTGGCAGTTAGCATGTTCTGGGGGCTGATGGGGCCCAGCACAGTGTGCGCCAGGCTGGCAGTTAGCATGTTCTGGGGGCTGATGGGGCCCAGCACAGTGTGCGCCAGGCTGGCAGTTAGCATGCTCTGGGGGCTGATGGGGACCAGCACAGTGTGCACCAGGCTGGCGGTTAGCATGTTCTGAGGGCTGATGGGGCCCAGCACAGTATGCGCCAGGCTGGCGGTTAGCATGCTCTGGGGGCTGATGGGGCCCAGCACAGTGTGCACCAGGCTGGCGGTTAGCATGTTCTGAGGGCTGATGGGGCCCAGCACCGTATGCGCCAGGCTGGCGGTTAGCATGCTCTGGGGGCTGATGGGGCCCAGCACAGTGTGCACCAGGCTGGCGGTTAGCATGCTCTGAGGGCTGATGCTCTGTCTCACCGCCACTCACAACTCTCCCAGTCTCCATCAGTCAGAAGGGAACACTGGGCTTCTCTGGAGCACGTGAGGCACTCTTCATCAGCATCTAAGATTGGGCAGAGCTGACTCTAGGTGAGGAAGTGTTTGAGGATACAACTGAAGTACAGCTGCTTCCCTAGGTCAGGGCAGAGTCAATCCCCCCACCCACCCCCACACTGTACTAAGAGACTTTGAGGCTTAAGATGGAAGGGAGTCCAACCCAGGGGGTAGGGGTCCAGTTCTGGGTGTTGCCATTCTGACACCTGTGGAATTGCTAGCTAGTCTCCTGCTATAAACCTACCACCTGCCTTCCTGTGTTACTGTGTGTGACAGTTAATGTTAGTTGTTAACTCAAGTAACCTAGAAGACAAGCCTCTTGGCAAGCCTGTCAGATTATCTCATTAGTTTAGCTGGATTTGGAAGTCCCACTCTGTTTGGGCAGCACCATGCCATGGGTCCTGGCTCTGGACTGGATGAAGAGGGAGAAGACACTAAGTGTCAGCATCCATAGCTCTCTCTTCCCGACTGCGGATGGAAAACGAACAGCTGCCTCCACCTGTTGTCATGGTGACTTCCTCACTATGCCGGACTGGACCCCTGAATGGTGAGCCCAAACCAATCCTTCCTTCCTTGAGTTGCTTTCTCCTCCCTTGCTCCCCGGAGCCCCCAGGGCTCCTTTCATCTTGTCACCATTTGACTGAAGAGCAGGGGAGCTTTCTCTAAGGAGCTCTGGAAGGTGTGACTCACATCACAGGACTGCAGCCTAGAACTTCTCTGTAAGGGAAGTTGGGGGGTCACAGACACTTCTCCTTCCTGGGCTTAGCCAGCCCTATTCCTGCTCTCTCTAGACCTCCTCCTTCCTCCCAAACTCTTCCCACCTCTGAAGAAAATGATTACTCAAAACGACAAACCGAGCCCAGAAATAGCCATCCTATTTGTGGCTTAAAAGCAAGCGGCTTTATTTTTACAGTAAAGTTGCTGTATTTTCTCTAAGCATAAATCATTATCTACCACAAATGAAACTCCAGACCCATCTGTGATAGTTCCTGCTTTGTTGGTGGTGCCAATTAGTCACAAAACAATTGGTAACTTCCCCCCACCCACTCACTCTGTGGGAGGAGAGCCATCCCTGGCAGCAGCCCCCTCCCACCAGCGGCCAACTTCCCTGGGGACCTTCTGACCATCTAACTCCCTGGGGAGTCTGCTCTGAATTCACCTGGCGACTGGTATCAGCTTCCAAATCAGGTGGCCTGTCCACCGCCAGAGTGGCCAGGCATCTCTGTTGTGTTCTGAGATGGAGAAAGGAAATGGGTGTGCCCCTGTTCTGTTGACTTAAACAATGACGCTGGCATCTTCTCTCTAGTTGGTCACTCTGCTCGAGGTTCCACGGCACTCCTGGGGACAACTGTTCGCCAACTCTGGACAGACTCAGCTCTGAGAAGCACCAAATGTGGAGAGAGGAGCAGAGAGAATCCTTCCATCCCATCCCATTCTCTCTCCTTCCCCGCGGCCGGGGACCTCTTGGGCAGCCTGTTGGCTCCCTCTGGATCTCACCGGCTTCTCTCACCATCCTTCCTTATGGTGCATTCCTTGCTTTCTACCTTGTAGTTTGCCTTAGTGGGTTCTCTTTTCTCTCTGACTTTCTTCCTGAAACTTAAGCTTCTCCAGGACGCTGGCCTTCTCTTCCACTGGGACATGAAAATCAGGTAATAAGAAATCTTTTTCCGTATCTGGCCAGAGCTCACCTGCTCTGTTAATTTACCCTCTTTCTCTGTATCTGTGCCAGCTGTGGTCTAAATGTCTTCGGGGTAAGGCCCTTCTCATGTGGCCTCCTTCCCCTTTGGGAGAACTGAGCCCCGGGCTTCCTGTGGATCAGTTGAACTCCTGCCCTTCAGACCGGCTTTGGAAACAGTCTGAAGCGAGGCTTCACGACTTGGTCCATGGACCAAGTTTTCTGACCTGTTGAAATCACCTTCCTTCCCCTTTGACCCTACTGGTTCCAGGGTCAGTACTGCTTCACTGTGGTAACGGGAGGAAGCTCTCTGAAAAGAGGAAGAACAGGAGTGAAGGTAGGGGTAGCTCTTCACTGTGGGCACGGCTACCTGAGAACCAGGTGACCTACTGGAGAAAAGTGTGCAGAGCTCAAGGGAAAAGCTATTTAATGCTGTGTTTCCAGGTTCCGGCGTGAGAATCTAACAAGAGCCGCAGTTCCAGGGAAGGAATTTGCTTGGGTACTGCCACGGGGCAGACATACCCCTCAACCACAGTCCCCGGTGCCTTGGCTTCCCTTCCTCTCTATGACCTCAACCCAACTTTCTGTGCTAAACTGTGCATTATCTGCTCCAAGGACTGCAAGAGGGTATGAGTATTGAATTATTTATCCATGCGCCTTCTGCTAGGCAGATTTAGACATACATGTCCCTTTTAATCTCCACACCCTTTTTTTGTTTGTTTGTTTGTTTTTCGAGACAGGGTTTCTCTGTGGTTTTGGAGCCTGTCCTGGAACTAGCTCTTGTAGACCAGGCTGGTCTCGAACTCACAGAGATCCGCCTGCCTCTGCCTCCCGAGTGCTGGGATTAAAGGCGTGTGCCACCACCACCTGGCCTTCTCCACACCTTTTTGAGGTAATATTAAAAATCCATTTTATAGTAAAGAAGACTGAGTCTTCAAGGGCTCAGTGTAGGTCGTGTGTTACTTATGAGCTTAGCCTAGGGATAGGAATGGTGCTACATATTCTGCCCTTTCATACATTGTATCTTAGGAGCACCGCTCTCCTTAGCTCAGGTTGGCCCTAGTCTCTCAAGGTGATGAGCCACCCTGTGCTATCCTCAGCCATTCCCAGTGTGGATCAGGATACAGATTTTCACTTGTGTGTCAGGGAACGATGCCATTTGAAGTACTGCTTCTGCTGATAAGCGTGGGACCATCTGCTTGGCACAGCTCACATATTTTCAGCAGTGGGAGAGCAGCTCTGACTTCAGAGACTAGTCTGCAGCCATCCTTGGAGATGCTGAGACCAGGGACCTGGCGGGCTGGCTGGGTATGGATGCCACAGGATTCAAAGGAGCCGTCTCCCTGTTGCACCTCTGACCCTTTCTGAGCGAAGGACACCAGTGAGTCTGTGCTCCAGGGGGGGAGCTGTTCAGATGCTCTTGACAGCACAGTAAGATCTCCCCCGTTCTGAAAGCTGTCACCCGGCAGCGATTTCTGTGCTGATTGCTTTCTGTGGAGTGTTAGCTAGTTGCTGTTCAGTGTGTGTTGGCAAAAACTTCTGTCTCCCACCGCCTTCATTTTGGGAGATTTGCTTTTCTGCTGGGGGAGTTGTTCCCAGATACTGCTTTCCAACTTCAGGGTTGAAACTTCTGCCGCGACGCCGTCGTCTTGACTCATGACTGGGGAGGTATGGAAGGGATCCTGGGATTGATTCACAGAGTGGATGGTGCCTGTGATGAATGCTTTCAAGGTTGTTGCAGGAACAAGAGAAGAACTGGGAACTGAAAGGGTTGTAGCAGTGTTTGATTCCTGTATAGAAAATGCTTAACTTAGCCACTGGGCATGGCTGGAGGCAAGTTCGGTGGCTTTCTCTTTGTTTTCCTTGGTGGGCATCAGTGCTTGTGATGCCCTGGCCAGCCCAAAGGTGACAGTGTAGACTAAGTAGTCTTTGGTATTACCTTAGCAGTGTTTCCCAGCCAGGGGGGCAGGGGTGATCTGGCAAGGAGAGAATGTACCGGCTGTTGGCACGTTGCTGTGTGTGACAATAAGGTGGTCAGAAGCTAGCCTCTGAGTATGGAGGTTCACCTCATCACTGTGGGCATCTGAAGACTGGATGGTTCTGTTGTGTGGCTGTCCTACATCTTTAGGACATTCAGCCACTCAGCTATTCGCATACTCAACTCTAAGCCACCAGGCATGCCAAATGTCCCAAAGGAGATGCAATTCCCTCCCCTCTGAAAGCAGTGCACGAAGTTGGCTCTTCTGCACACTAGAAAAGGGGACCTGTCCTTGCTCCTCTAGCCAGGTGGCTCTGCTGTTAGGGTGATGTGAAGCTGTGCTGAACACAGAACAGGTGTTTCTGCCACACACACGTACCCTTCAGTGCCCTCCCTTGCCACGAAATTTCATCTCACAAATGGCTTTCTATTTGTGCAGGATAGTATACACACACACACACAGAGAGAGAGAGAGAGAGACAGAGAGACAGAGAGAGAGAGAGAGACAGAGAGAGAGGAGAAGAAGAAGAAGAAGAAGAAGAAGAAGAAGAAGAAGAAGAAGAAGAATGCACCCTTTGCATCCACACACCAAACAAGGTCCTGCCTGGGGTCAACTTCTGTGTGGGTGCCTGGGAACAGTAGCAGATTAGATACACACTCCTTCAATCCCTAGTTCTGTTGTTGTTGCTGTTGTTTGTCCTATTGTCTTTCTCCCTCCATTTTTTTCTTTCATCACCCCAACCTGTCTCCTTTCTCTTCTCCCCCATCCCTCCCCCCTCCCCCTCTCAGAATGGGAATCGGGGCTCAGGAAAGACTGTTTTAGTGAGCGGGAATGTGGAAGAGGATGCCTGTTCCCGAGTTTCGAGAGAATGTACATAAAAACACGGCACTTGCTGTTTAAAAAAATTCAGTGTTTTATTATTGTCTGTGCACGTGTGGGGGGCTATGAGGGGAGGTATGGAGTCAGTTCCCTCCTTCCTAGTGGGTACGGGGACCGGACTCAGGTCATCAGGTTTGCACAGCAAGAGCCTTTACCTGTGAAGTCATCCCACTGGCCTATGGAAGGAATTTAGAGCATCTGTCCCCAATGGTGTTCCTTGATTCTGCTATCAGCTCCACTGTGCAACTTCTTCTCACACTGGCAGGGAGAGATGAGTGAGTCCTGGATGGAGCTGTCAGGACCTGGCTGTGCAGGTTCACATCCTTCCACCGTCAGGGAAACCGCTGGGCTTGTTTTCCTGGCTGTTGATTCATTATCTCAGCCCGACATTTCCACAAGACACTTACTGGCATAGAACCGTCCCAGCTCTAGGCTTTCAATTCCTAGCTTTTCTCATCTCTTCGCCTTTCAGAAAGACATGAAATGGACAATTATGTGAAGGAGCCAAGTTCAGAGGGGCCGGGCTGCTTGGCTTGGGGCTTGCATCTGTGATCAGCTGGCTTAAAAGCTAAGTTCCTGAGCCAGGCAGGGTTAGGCACAGACAGCAGAGGCCTCTGCCTTGTAATATGCACGGCAAAGCCTCTTTGGCAGTCTTGGCCACATCTACCGAGAGAGCAAAGAGCATTCCCGGCAATGAGGTTGACCACATTCTAGGCTCTTGGCACTCTTAGGAATACATCATCAGGTCAAAGGCCCCAGAGGACCCTTGCAGAGGGACTTGAGCCATATCCAAGTAGATTGTAGTCTACTCAGAAAGAAAAGGAAGAGGCCATGACTTGACAATGGTGTGGAAGAAGAGGCTGACTGACATCCACTCTGTCTTTAGTGACACAAAGACCGCGACTCGGGGTGTCACACTGGGCTCTGCCACAAGACGAGGAGCATGCGCACTGGCCCGCGTGCCACCCTGTTCAGGTGACCAGGCCACCTGCTGGAATCTGAAGTCTGTGATGCTTCTTCAGTGTTTTTTGAGCTGGGACAGATGAGGTCAAACTTATAGGAGGCACTGTGGAACCGGCTTCAAATCTAGCTGCTGTGGTGTAGCAAATCCTAGCAGTTCAAAACAGATCTGAAGGTAGTGGAGCACATCTTTAATCCCAGCACTCAGGAGGCAGAGGCAGGAGGGTCTCTGTGAGTTCGAGGACAATCTGGTCTACAGAGAGAGTTCCAGGACAGTAAGGGCTACACAGAGAAACCCTATCTTGAAAAAACAAAATTAAAATAAAAAACAGATCCGAGGCTGGAGAGATGGCTCGGCAGTTAAGAACATGCACTGACTTTTTTTTTTTTTTTTTTTTTTTGGTCTTTTGAGACAGAGTTTCCCGGTGTAACAGTCCTAGCTGTCCTGGAACTAGCTATTGTAGACCAGGCTGGCCTGGAACTCACAGAGATCTGCCTGTCACTGCCTCCCGAGTGCTGGGATTAAAGGCGTGAGCCACCACTGCCTGGCGCATGCACTGCTCTTGCAGAGAACTCAGTTTTAGTTCCTAGCTCACTCTGGGCAACTCACAACTTCCTGCAACTCCAGGGTGAGGGGATCTGGTGACCTCTTCTGGTCTCTGTTGGCACTGCACTCAGGTTCACAGATAACACATAGAGGCACAAAATGAAAAGTAAAAAATGATTTTTTTAGAATTTCATGTATGAGTCTATATTTATATCATGTTACCCCTCCTTTTTCTCTTTCCAGCTCCTCTAGTGTTCCCCCATTCCCTTCCAAATTTATGGCCTCTTATTCTTTAATTACTATTATTGCATATATACACACATGTAAATTTATAAATACAGCCTTAAGAGTCCCTTTAGTGCTCACATGTACATGTGCTTAAGGCTAATCATTTGGGACTGGATGACTGTCAGGGGGCCCATCCCTGGAGAAGATGGATCTTTCCATTCTCAGCAGGTATTAATAGTCGGTAGCTTTTCTTCTAGCAGTGACGTTTTGTAATACTCCCCCATCTATGTTGGCATGCCAACTGGTGTTGTCATTTTTCAGATCTTTTTGGCAGTCACATTTTTGAGATTTCATGGATGCGACCTCCCTGGAGTATATATCAGACACTGCCTTGACACAGATGTCCTGGTTCCTTGGGGTTTACGACCTCTCCTTTGCCTCTTCTTTGATGTTTCTGAGCCTTAGTTGAAGGGGTTGAAAAAACAAAATCTTTAAAAACAAAACAAGTGAACCAAAACAAAAACAAACTAACCCCAACAACCTCTGACAATTTGTGTAGGGGTGTCTCTGTCTAGGGAAAAGAGACAGTTCAGCAAGGGATACATACCATCAAAGAGCTTCCCAATGGCAGAAAAAAAGATCGCAGACTATAAGACCAATTTTTGACATTTAATGACCTCTACTGACTTTGGAAAAAAAACTTTTCTACTCAGATGTGATATTACCGCCTACGGTTGTTTTAATTCCTACGGGCAGATGGGTTGTGCTACACATTGTTTGTGCTGGCCAGTCTGGTCTAAGGTGGGAAGTGTCTTCTTGAGCAGGGAGTGCAGTCCAGAAGGGAGAGGACATCGAAATGGAACCAGGACAGAGGATGCCAGCGGCAGGCAGGGCAGGAGGGCGTCTATCTATATGGGAAGTAAAGGGGACGTGGAGCCCCTGCTAAGTGAAAAAAGTCTCCCAAAGCAGGGCACAGTGACAGCGTGGGACTTCTGGGTGGGTTGTTTGCACACAGGTGAGTGACAGGAGCCTGGGTACCCTGCTGTCGTGGAAGGGAGTTATAAACATGGAGACACCCAACTCTTGGGTAGACTTGGGAGATGTTGGTATAGATGCATATGTTTGTGTTTGCACATACACATTTTATAGATATGACTCTAAGTCCATGTATGCAATTGTAAATACAGGCATATATGTATTTAAAATAATGATAAAGAATCAGAAGCAATTGATCAAGGTTAGAGGATTAGTTGAAAATAAATACATTTTAGAGAATACCCTGATAAGGAGAAAATAATATGATATCAAATGAGAAATACATGATACCAATCCTTATCTTAAGTTGATCCCAATTCTTTAAAATGTGTTTGAGACATTGAAAAGAAAGATAAAGGACTATTCCAAGTGTTAAATAAGGTTAATTTTGAGTATTGGTCTTACATGTGAAATTTCCAAATATTCTTCTTTGAGAACCTATCATTTTATAATTGGAATAAAAGGTGACATAAATTAAAATCCCCCCATTTTGTATCACAGCTAAATAGCTTAAGAGGAACCCAGTAGGATGGCATTTTGGGGGCCCTTTTACTCAGGTAGACATGGTTTGATCTGTTCCCGGGGGCCACTCTGCTTCTTGATGACCTCCCAGAACTCTCTTTGTCAACCAGGCTGACCTCCAACTTGTAGCAATCCCCTTGTCTCCGTGATTGCAAACAAGAGTGTCACCATAGACTTTAACACGGAGAGGGCACAGGAATCCTGGACCCACCACAGACAAGGTCATAATTTGAAATCAACCTTAGGTCTTCGAGGGAAAACAGTTCTCTCCGTCAGGAAACATGGTGCGTTCAAGACCTCAGACAGGAGGTTAGTGACAAGCTAAAGTGGACAGCAGAATGTAAGAAGACTTCTGCCATAGTGAGACCTGCAGCTGGGTGAGGGCAAGGCCAGGGCTTCTGACTGGCACAGCTCTGCCCTAGTTGTGAGTGTTGGTCCACCTCCCAGTCTCTCCGGCTTCTGTTTGTCTGTGAAGTGAGAGGCTTGGTTAAACCAATAGCCTCCAGACTTTCTTCTTTGGTGAGTGAGAAACAGGCTTGGCTTTTGGTTGGCGGTCAGGAGACCTGGCCAGCTCTCTGATGAGGACCCTTGAGCATTTTCAGGCACCCCTGTGTTGCTGCCCAGGGAACAACTAATTGCCTCCATGAAGCAATTGTGGGTGGCAGAGCCTCAATGGGGTTGTGACTTGCAGAGGCTCCAAGCTTAGTATTAATCCTTAATTTTCTTCCCTGTTGAATGGTGCAATGACAGCTTCCTTTCCAGCCTCCAACACAGGTTATGAGGTCCCATAGTTAGGCAGCAAGGAAGGGTTCTTTGGATGTTAGCACCTGCATGCTGATGCTCCAGTAAGCTTCATTCTCCCTAGGAGGTGCTTCCATGAGGAGCAGCGAGGAGGGAAGGATGCTCTGTGATGCTCCTGACTAATGATGCCGATGCCACCGCCTGCTCCAGTCCTTTCGCGCTGTTCCCAGCTGAGGTTCCCACCACTGTGTTCTACACCAAGGCCCGCTAGGATGAGCTGTCCTTCAACTCAGACTGTCCCTGCCAGGTAACACACAGCCTGCGGCTACAGTTACTCTATAATAAGATGATTTGCATGTCTGGACCAAAAGCCCGCAGTCCTAGAACCGGGTCTACCTGGAGACAGGCAGGTGTGGCCCCCATCAGGGAGCTCAAGCACGGGATGTCTGTGGCGACTGGGAAAGCATCCCCATGACTAGAATAATTCCAAGTTAGGTTGTTTGGTCATAAGCAGCAGCAGAGGCTCTACTCCCCACACTCAAATATCCCAGCGCCTCCTAGCAGATGTGCAAAAGATATGACAGCCAGGAGCCTTGAGGAGGATGGGGATACAGGGCCAGCTGGTTTCCCAGGCCTCCCAAACTGACACTGGATAGTTGGAAATTCCTGATGATCGTGTAACATTGGGGGTGTGATTTTTGAAATTTTTTTAGCAATGTGTTTAAAGTAAAAATCTCAATATAACAAAAACAATGGAAGGATCATATTTGTTGTTTTTAATAAGAATTTAGTTTTTGTAATTTAACTAGTTACATTAAAACCCCATGGTCAAAATCAGTGATTCAAGAGTTTTGCTCTGACCCTGAGAAAACCATGTCCACTCATTGGGATGCCCTGGACTGAAGTGAACACATTTTCTCCAGGAAGATCACAGAGATCCATCTGCTTCTGCCTCCCAAGTGCTGGGATTGCAGGTGTATGCCACCACCATGTGCAGCTGGCCAAAACTATTCTTTCTGTAGTGCTGGGCTTGAGACAGGATCTTACTATATTGTCCTGGCTAGCCTGGAGCTCACTATGTAGACCAGGCTAGCCTTGAATTTGTAAGATCTTCCTGATTAAGCTCCCTGACTGATTACAGGTATAAGCTATCCTGTCAGCTAGCAGGGACACCTGACTGCTAGGATTACAGATATAAGCTACCATTCTGTAAGTCCTGCCTTTATGCATGCCCTTGTCTACAGTGTTCCCTTTTTCTTAAAATGCCTTTCTTCCCCTTCTTCAGCAAACGAACTCCTACTGTTCCTTCAAGACCCGGTGATGTAAGGCCTCCCTTAAAACCGTATAAAGCTACGTCTTGCTGTGTGCTCGCCTGGTTTCTGGCATGCTCTCCTTCATTCCACTTACCAAATTAAATTAGATTCCATTCTTTCCCCCCAGCAAAACTACGTAGAGGTTCTTATTTTTAACAGTCTGTAAAACAACTTGCAATTAAACCTTGAAAGGATAGAGAAAGCTTGTTCCATCATCACGAAGATAGATCTCTAACTGTAGAATTGAAGGTCAGTTTGATTTTAAAAAGACAGATCCAAGTGGGCCTAAAGTGTTCCCACAGCCTTCTCAACTGTTTTCTGTGAATGTAGTTTGAAGCTGTTGGGGGAGGGGAAGACAGTTGAGTGGAAATAAAACCTGGATCATAAACGGAAAGTGTGGGGCCTGGCCTGGCGTCTTAAGTATGGAGGAACAGGCTGTGAATCTGGGGCTCAGTGAGGAAATAGGAAGGGAGGCAGCACAGTGATGAGCACCCTTCACCCCAGGATCACAGTCAGACAGGAGAGCCCTGTTCCTCAGGTGAGAAGCCAAGAGCTGATTGCCTTCAAGGTCTAGAGGGTCCTGGTGTGTGAGCCTTGTCTCAGACAGCAAGACATCCTTGCCACTTTCCCTGAGAACCTAGCTTATGTCTGGTTTATACATTGCCAGCATTTGGTTTTGCTCCTAAAAACCTTGACTGCATTTTGTGACAGTTGAAAGTCTGAGCTGTCCCTACAGGGTGGCCACTGGTCACCCACTCCTTCTGAGCACAGGAAATGCGGCTCATCTGCTAAGGTACACACACATGTGGAGACACATCCTTTTCTTTTTTCATTTTTTGTTTTCTTATCAGTTATATGATGAAATGCTATTTTGAACTCATTGGGCTAAATAAAATAGATCATCAGAATAAATTTCACTGGTTTATTTTTGCTTCTTTTAAGAACATTTATTTTATTTAATTTTATTCTAATGAGTGTTTTGCCTGCATATGTGTATGTGTGTGCACCACCTGCATGCCTGGTATCTGCAGAGGTCAGAAGAGGGCATCAGATCCCCTGTTTGGATGCTTGTAAGCCACATGTGGGTACTGGGTGCTGAACCTGGGTCCTCCCTTTATTTGAGGGGGTGGGAGGAGGAAGGGTTTACTTCACTCAGTTTTTTTAAACATAGTTTCTTTATTGATTCTTTGGAAATTTCACATCATGCACCCTGATACTGCTTACCTCCCGGTCCTTCCACATCCTTCCCTCACCCCTGCAGTAACCCCTCAAAGAAAATATTTTTAAAAAATCAAACATAGCAAGCAAGTAAGCAAACAAACAAAAACAAGAATAAAAACAAAAGTCTTCTTGGCCTCTCCATCTTTCCCTCCTCTCCATACCTCTCATTTGTCCTGGTGGCACTGGGGGTGGCATGTCATCCTTTGTCAGTCAGCTGTACTAGCAAGTTCATTGCAACGAGTCGCTGGTTCGTTCAAGGCCTCTGGTTTCTGGCACACCATCATCACTGGGCCCTCACTGGAACTCCTCTGGGATATCCTGTGGCTATCCTGAGTCATGAAGATCCTGTGGACATCATTCCACAGGTCCAGCAGGTCCTAGACACGTAGATGTTAGGGTGGGCCAACCCAACATCCCAACATAGGCTGTGGGCCTGGGTGGGACCTGAGCTAGTTAATCTGGGCCACTGGGGCTGCTCACCTCAGTCAGGAGGACAGAGTCAGCTCCCCCGTGCTCATGCCATCAGGGTAGGTTCTCCCTCACCTGTGGTGGGGCCATCTCTCCCAAGTTCAGGAGTTCAACTCTCTTGCCACAGTGTCCAGCCAGAGGCAGGATCAGCTTTCCCGGGGCCACTGAAGGGTGGGGCTGACTCAGCATGGGTCCTCTGATTTCATCATGCATGATTCCTAAGGCCCCCTTAGGGTCACACAGTCCACAGATATCAACACAGACCCCAGCTCCAACTGGACTATAGACCCAGGCATGGCCCTCGGCAGCAGCTCAGGTACAGATGACATCCTGGCTCTAGGTAGAAGCACTGGCCATTCAGATCAGGCATGGCCCCTAGACACCAATAAGGCCACGAGTTGTAGCCCCAATCTGGGTTTCTGTGTGACTTTGGTGGTACCATGGGCCTTGGACAATATAGACCCCAGCCTCAGTAGGACCCCAGACCCTGACATGGTCCTCAGCTGTAGCTCTGGTCTAGAGGTTACCATGGCATTGGGTAGCAGTAGAGGTCACTCAAATCTGTATGGCCCCAGCTGCAGCATGGCCCCTAGACTCCAACAGGGCCACAGGTTGTGGCCCAGACTGAATTCTCTCTAAGAGTAATATATTCTTGACCACTGAGCCATCTCTCTCTCCCCTATTTATTTATTTTTATTTTGTGTGTATGAGTGGTTTATTTACTGCTTTTTTTTGCCTGAATGTATATTTGTGTACCATATGCCCGAAGTCCTTAGATGAGGGTGTTGGGTCCCTTGGAGTTATAGGTTGTTCAGGAACCTGGGTCCTCTGCAAGAGCAGCAAGGCCTCTTAGCCACTGAGCCTTCTCTCCAGCCTCTGAACTTTCTAGCCACATGTTACAGCTATGATTCATAGCTGAGTGTTTCTCTTCTGTTTTATCTTATTTCTGTGTGTGTGCGTGCATGTGTGTGTGTGTTCATGGGTGTATAGGTACACATGCATGTAGGTGGGTATGTGTATGGAGGCCAGAAGTCAACCCAGAGCGTTGTTCCTAAGGTTCCATGCCCTTTTTTTTTTTAAAAAAAAAAACAGGATCACTCACCGGCCTGAAACTTGCCACTTTGGCTTGGCTGGATGGCCAGCAAGCTCTAGGAATTCACCCATCTCTGCCTCCCCAGTTCTGAGATTACAAATGTGTTCTGCCACATCTTTTTTAAATGTGTCTGTTCTATGTCTCTATGTGTTTTATCTGGATGTGTTATGTGCATCACATTCATGCAGTGCCTATAGAAGCCAGAAGAGGACATCAGATCCATCACAACTGGAGTTACAGATTGGGAGCCTCCATCTGGGTGCTGGGAACTGAACCCAGGTCTCCCGTAAGAGAAGCAAGTGTTCTTAACCACTGAGCCATTGCTCCAGGCCCCACACCTAGGTGCCTTTGGTTTGTTTTTATTTTTTATTTATTTATTTATTTATTTATTTATTTTGGTTTTTCGAGACAGGGTTTCTCTGTGACTTTGGAGCCTGTCCTGGAACTAGCTCTGTAGACCAGGCTGGTCTCGAACTCACAGAGATCCGCCTGCCTCTGCCTCCCGAGTGCTGGGATTACAGGCGTGCGCCACCACCACCCGGCCCCTTTGGTTTGTTTTTAAATGTGAGTCTAGGGGATCCAACTTAGTTCCTTGTGCTTGCAAAGCAAACACTTTCCTAATTGAGCCACCCCCCTCTACGCCAGCTGTCTCTTCTATTTTAATTCTCCAGTTTTCATAGTTTTTGTTTGTTTGGCTTATTTACAGAAAGTTACCTGAAGCAGCGCAGCCCAAAGCCTCTTCATGGACCCATCAAATATGACATCCCTTGCTGAGGAGAAAGACATGAACACCTCCAGCAAGAACGCCTCCCTGGGGAGTGCGCACCTTCCCATTCCCATAGTGCACTGGGTCATCATGAGCATCTCCCCTCTGGGCTTTGTGGAGAACGGCATCCTCCTCTGGTTCCTCTGCTTCCGGATGAGGAGGAATCCCTTCACGGTCTATATCACCCACTTGTCCATTGCGGACATCTCGCTCCTCTTCTGTATTTTCATCCTGTCCATTGACTATGCGCTGGACTACGAGCTCTCTTCTGGTCACTACTACACAATTGTCACATTGTCGGTGACGTTTCTATTTGGCTACAACACGGGCCTCTACCTGCTGACGGCCATCAGTGTGGAAAGATGCCTATCGGTCCTCTACCCCATTTGGTACAGATGCCACCGCCCCAAGCACCAGTCGGCATTCGTCTGTGCTCTCCTGTGGGCACTTTCGTGCTTGGTGACCACCATGGAGTATGTCATGTGCATCGACAGCGAAGAAGAGAGTCACTCTCGGAGTGACTGCCGGGCGGTCATTATCTTTATCGCTATCCTCAGCTTCTTGGTCTTCACCCCGCTCATGCTGGTGTCCAGCACCATCTTGGTGGTGAAGATACGGAAGAACACATGGGCCTCCCACTCTTCAAAACTGTACATTGTCATCATGATCACCATCATCATCTTCCTTATCTTCGCCATGCCCATGCGGGTGCTCTACCTGCTGTACTACGAGTACTGGTCAGCCTTCGGGAACCTGCACAACATCTCCCTGCTCTTCTCCACCATCAACAGCAGCGCCAACCCCTTCATCTACTTTTTTGTGGGCAGCAGCAAGAAGAAGCGCTTCAGGGAGTCCTTAAAGGTGGTTCTGACCAGGGCTTTCAAAGACGAAATGCAGCCCAGACGCCAGGAGGGCAATGGCAACACCATCTCCATCGAGACTGTGGTCTGAGGATTGCAGCAGGAAACTGTGGGCAGAAACAGTGGAATGCGGGTGGCTTTCGATTTGTGCTTTGAGATTTAAATCTTCAAAGTATGATACAGAAGGGAAGCATTCCACGTGCATGGGAGTCTAATGATGAGCTTGCGTTCTTATCTAGTGTCTTCTGGAAATGTTGCCGTATGTGACAGGGCTCTGTCTTCTTCTATCCTTATCAAAGACTTATTTGTCTCTTAGCTCTTTGGTAGTGATCAACAGTTAACTACAAAAACTGCTCTAGCAGAAGGCATCCCAAATGGGACCTGGAGAACCTAGAGAAGCCATGCAACTACTGCTGTTTGCTCCACGTGACCTCAGGCGAGAGACTCTGGGGAGCCTCATTTCCTCCCTTAGTGGAAGTGGTAACAGTCTGTACTGTGTGGGCTATTGCTGAGTATGGCAAGGTAGGCAAAGCACCTGCTCATAGTCAAAGTTCAATAAAATCCATCTCTCTACATCCTTTAACTAGAACACAATACTGCCTTGTGCTTTTAAATGTTGAACAGAGATTCCCAAAGGTCTCCTGGCTTGCAGCATGGCAGCTTTTCATGGTATAACACCAGGGATTGTCACAATCTAGGCAGTCACATATTTGGGACATCATTCTGGAAACAAACATTTTCCCCTCTTGGAAGACTTTCCCATGGCTTCCTGTTCCTTGGGGAATACTCCACAGAATGGAAATCTATGTCTTGAGAATTTTTCACTGTGTATATGATTTCACAAATGCAACTTAACTCAGGATGTTGAGAACTGTTGTGATCTTAAAGATCTGTTTGTTCCCCCAAAGTGATGGGTTATTTATAGTTATGAAGTTCTTACCCTCAGCCTCGTATGTGTCTCTACACCTGATACCTTTCTTCTGAGTCTCTCTGTGTGTGTGTGTGTGCATGCAGCTCACATACATGTGAATGTGTGTGGCTGAACGTGTGTGAGCGTGAGTGCATGTATGTGTGTGTGCATATAGAAGCCCAAGTCTGAACAGGGAGTGCTTGTATGTGTGTGTGCATATAGAAGCCCAAGTCTGAACAGGGAGTGCCTCCATTGGTTTCCACCTTCTTCATTGAGTCAGGCACTCTCAGTCGAATCCAGAGTCACCCCTGGGCCAGTCTAACACACTAGCTTCCCTTGAGAATCCTTGTTTCCACCTTCTACACCTTGGCCTTACGGACAGGCTACCACGCCCACTCGGCATTTGTGTGCTTACTGGGAAATCCAAATTCTGGTCCTCATGCTTGTATGGTAAGTGTTTTGCCCAAGCCTCCTGGTCTTTGTGTTTAATCCTTCTGAGAAGGAGGCTTACTGTGGGAGCTGAAAGGATGCCAGTGCATCTTGAAGGAACTTGGATGCTTTCCCCCAAGACTGACTGCTGCAGGATCCACTGGGCCTCTTCAAGCTCTGTCTCCTGTCTGCTCTAGACCACACACTGGATTTTAACTGAATGCTGTCTTAGCCTATAGACCAATACACTGGGAAACCAACTTCCCACCCGCCCTTCTGGGAGGCTCACTGAGGCAGCAGTGCTTGCTGGGTTCTTCACACAGGCAAATGTTCAGTGAGTGGACCTTTGGTTCTCGTTTCCACTGTTGTCCTCTTCAGGTCTAGAAGACCTCTGAAGGACTGAGTCTTCCCTGTTGCCCTCTCCCCTCTCTGACCCGGAAGTAATAATGCTAGCCCCATGGAGCCGCTTTGCTGGAGAAAGGTGTGAGTCTCCTCTGAGCTGAGCCCCGCTGCTAGCCAACTTGGATGCAGGAGACTTTTCAGTGGGTGATAACATCTGACTCAGAAGCAAGGCAGCTTGTGTTCAGGAGTCCAGATGGGGCGCAGAGCAGTGACATTTAGAACAGTCTTGTTTGCCATTGGAAGCCGAGTTTCTGTACTCGGGAGGAGTGGAATGTACCAACCAGAGTGGGCCCCTTCTGATTCTGCTGTCTCCTGGATGTCATGTACAGTCTCATCACATCCCAATAGGGTTTCTGTTCCCCCAGAACTACGACAAATACCCGAAACAAGCCAGTTTATAAGAAGGGTTTATATTGGCTGTCACTTCAGAATTTCAGTCCGCAATCATGTGACCCTGTTCCATTGAGTCTGTAGTGGCAAAAGACATCAAGGCCAGAGCACGTGGTAGAGAGGAGCTGCTTGCCAGCGTCCCAATATCCACTTCCAGGGCATGCCCCCAATGCCCTGCCTTCCTTCCACTAAGCCTCACCCACTAAAGGTGAGGATTTAAAGTGCCAGCCTCTCCCAATGGATTTACACATTCATGACGAAGCCTTTATACATGGGGCTTTGTGGAAACCGTCAAGCCATGCAGATCCTAGGGAAAACACCGAGCAGAAGCCCTGATTACTGCTTTTTGACAGATGAGGTAAGGAAACTGAATGAACTAATGTAGTTGAACATTCCCCTACTTTCCCAACAAACAATTTCTTGTAAAAAAAAAAGTAGGATTTGGAGTTCTTTATTTTTAATGACAAATTTCTCTCTCATCCCTAAAATCTATTCTCATAGTGAACTAAAGATTAAAACTAGGCCCAGAGGGGGCTGGAGAGATGGCTCAGAGGTTAAGAGCACTGACTGCTCTTCTAGAGGTCCTGAGTTCAATTCCCAGCCACCACATGGTGGCTTGCGGCCATCTATGGTGAGATCTGGTGCCCTCTTCTGGCATGCAAGCATACATGGAAGGAATATTGTGTACATAATAAATAAATAAATAAATCTTAAAAAAAAAATAAAACTAGGAAGTGGTTTGGAAGTGGGTGCTTCCAAACCAGAAGGCCTGAATTCTATTCCCAGGATCCGCATGGTAGAAGGGGAAAATTGACTCTTGAAAGTTGTCCTCTGACCTCCACATATGTGCCGTGGTATGTGTGCCTCCCACATATACACACATGTGTGTGTATGCACATACACACAATAAATAAATGTAATAAAAAATTTTAAAACCAGAAGTAGTGGCTCATGTCCATAACCTCAGCGCTCAGGAAGATGAGGGAGGAGGTAAGTTCAAGCCTGGGATGCACAGTAAGTTTCAGGCTACCCTGGGCTATGGGAATTATAGTGAAAGATCCTGTTTCAAGTCAAGTGGTGGTGGCACATGCCTTTAATCCCAGCACCCAGGAGGTAGAGGAAGGCAGATCCCTGAGTTCGAGGCCAGCATGGTCTACAGAGTGAGTTCCAGGACAGCTAGAGCTCCATAGAGAAACTCTGTCTCAAAAAACCAAAACAAACAAGTAATAGAAGATCCTGTTTCGAAAAACGCCATAGTAGGTGGGGAAGATCAATCAAAGCTAGCCTCGGTTACACAGAAACCTTTAGGGGAGCCTGAGCTACCTTTGACCCTGTCTCAGCAACACAACAAGAGAGACAAATGCCCTGGTGTCCTGTAATCCCAGCACTGAAGTAAATGGAGTTGGAGGGGTGCCGGGAGTTAAAGGCCAGCCTAGGCTTCATAGCAAAATCCTGTCTCAAAACAGAAAACAACAAAACAAAACAACCAAAAATCAATAAATAAAAACTGAAATGATAAATTTGCCCCCTCACTGCCCCAAGCAGGGAACGGAAACCTTGTCCCCAGCAGCTGCATAAACATCCCAGGAGCTAGCTGCAAAGGTCATTCATCACCATGTTGATTTATTGGTTTGTGCTTTTGATCAAAACATAACTCTTAGGATGACTTGCTGTTAGGCAAAGGGAGAATGTTAAAACATTCCCTAAGGTGCTTACTATGAAGCAAAGGCACAGTGAAACGGTTCAAATACATCGGGCCCCCATGCTGCTGGGGTGTGTTTCGGTGTCTACAGGAAACAAACTGCACTCCTGAGCCCATCTATCTCCTTGCAAGGAGATAGACTTGCCAAGGCTGGAGGGACCACACAGTGATTTCAGGGACTCCCTACTCTAGCCGGTGCATAACAGTGCTGGATTTCTGGAGGCTTCCACATCCCCGGACCTGCCTTTTATTCCCACAGACCAAGGGCATGGGGGTTTGTTGTCATTTATTTTAAGAAGTCATGCCATGCAACAAAACTCACATAGGAGGTTCATTGGAAAGGAGAGAGAGGGGCAGAGAGGGGGGCAGAGACCAGTCCCTAGGGACAAGAGTGGCAGAAGAGAAGGAGAGAGAAAGGAGAGAGAGAGGAAGAGAGGGAGAAAGAGACAGGAGGTGGGTAAGGTCTACCTTTTAAAAGGGAACATACCGAATGTGCATAGGAGGTGCTCCTAATGGCTGCAGCTGAGAACATAGCCTGCCAGGACACTAAGGGCAGGCCAGTGCAGGTGCCTGGATACTAACATTCCTCCCTTTTGTTTATTATAAAAAGATGAAGAGTTAGAAATGGGTAGCAAGTGAGGTGGGGAATCCAAGATTCAGTGTTGGAGAAAAATTAAGATATGTGGGAGGAGTTACAGGAGACCCCTGTGTAGTAATAAGAGGAGCGGCGGGGCTGCGTCCCAGCACCCCGGCCGCCTGCTCGGCTAGCTTATGCCCCGAAATAACAACACACAAACTGTATTCATTTAAACACTGCTTGGCCCTTTAGCTCTAGCCCTTACTGGCTAATTCTGATATCCCGATCAACTCATCTCTAATAATCTGTGAGAACCGGTCTTACTGGGAAGATTCTAGCCTAGTCCATCCTGGGTCGGAGCTTCATGGCGTGTGTCTGTCCTGGAGCGGGGCATGGCGTCTCTCTGAGGCGTCTGCTCCCGAGAGGAGAGCTGTGGAGTCTGAGCTCACTTCCTCTTCCTCCCAGCGTTCTGTTCTGTTTACTCCTCCCACCTATCTTCTAACCAATAAAATGGGCCAAGGCAGTTCCTTTTTATTTAACCAATGACCTTCCTCCATCACCCCTGGACCTCATTAGAATCAAGATGGTTCATACTGGAGAAAACATGTGCTGGTGTACAGAGTGTGGAAGGCTGCTCTTAGTTAGCAGTTCTTAAAGAGCATTATACAGTCCATATGATGAAAGAGTCATACAGGGAGAGAAACCATGTAGCCCCACCTGAGACAGATGCTGGAACTTTATCCGGTAAGCCACAGCCTTGTGGTGACACACAGATTAATAGAAATGGGTTAAATTAAGAGGTAAGAGTTAGCCAATAAGAAGCTAATTCTAATGGGCCAAGCAGTGATTTAATTAATACAGTTTTTGTGTAGTTATTTTGGGTCTGAGCTGCTGGGAACAAACAAGTGGCCTCCTACTATGGATTGTCGCCAATGTGGCCAACTAAAATCCACTTAAAACCTGACAGAGTTTGGGAAGGAATTCTAGGCAAAAACAAAACAAACAAACAAAACATAAAAACAAAAAACAGAGTTAAGCATGGCTTAATGCCATGGCTCCTTTAAGAGAGGTTTTTCTGATTCAGCAGTAGCAGAAATAAAGCTACATGTTTTTTCTGGGCCGCACTGCCAGTGCAAATTCTGGCTCTTTCAGGAGGTTGAGCATTTAAATGGGGTGTGTGGGCAATGTGCTGCAAGTTACTTGGTGGCAATATGTGCCAACTGGTTATCAGAGTTGAGGTGATGAGAGGCAGTGAATGGACTTCCACCATGTTGGACTGAGCATAGCAAGCAGGAAGGGCTGTGCTGACCCTAGCCATGCCTGCTTACATTAAAAAAAAACAGTTTTGGTCAGAAAAGGATTACAGAAACACAA